AAATAAATGCCTAAAATATTTTTTATATCTGTTTGCACATTTTTCCAAAACTCGACCACCTTTGGACAATCCCAAAATATATGAGTAAAATCCCCCATCTTTCCACAGTTTCTCCAGCATAGCCAAGATGTCCCACCATATATAGATGTAATAATTGGAGAGCTAAAGTAACGCATCTTGACTTTCCAGTCAAATTCCCTCCATGTTGGGCTGTTGGTTAACTTGTGTCCAGAGCTAAATGTTTCTTCCCAGTCCTCGACTGCTCTTATTATATTAGCCTCTATTCCCACTTCTCCTTGGTCCCCTTGATATCGGATTCATATTGTAGGCTTTTGTATAGTTTTGAGATCATGCCTTTTTTGATTCACCTTTTGCTATTGATAATAGAATTTCTTCCGTCTTGGTCATATCTGTTGAGATTTTCTGCCATTCACTATGATTCTGAAGGTAATGTCTGAGCTGCAGATATCTGTNTACAGATATATCCAGATCTAAATAAATGCCTAAAATATTTTTTATATCTGTTTGCACATTTTTCCAAAACTCGACCACCTTTGGACAATCCCAAAATATATGAGTAAAATCCCCCATCTTTCCACAGTTTCTCCAGCATAGCCAAGATGTCCCACCATATATAGATGTAATAATTGGAGAGCTAAAGTAACGCATCTTGACTTTCCAGTCAAATTCCCTCCATGTTGGGCTGTTGGTTAACTTGTGTCCAGAGCTAAATGTTTCTTCCCAGTCCTCGACTGCTCTTATTATATTAGCCTCTATTCCCACTTCTCCTTGGTCCCCTTGATATCGGATTCATATTGTAGGCTTTTGTATAGTTTTGAGATCATGCCTTTTTTGATTCACCTTTTGCTATTGATAATAGAATTTCTTCCGTCTTGGTCATATCTGTTGAGATTTTCTGCCATTCACTATGATTCTGAAGGTAATGTCTGAGCTGCAGATATCTGTGAAAATAATTTTTTTGTAAGTCAAATTCCCGTTGAATTTGTTCAAAAGATTTCATTGTTGACCCTTTAAAAAGCTGTTCTATTAATACCAGTCCCCCTTTTGTCCATCTCTCAAACCCTGTGTCCATAGTAGCACGGATAAAGTCTGGAATCTTAGTTATTTTTTACAATTCTTGATATAGAGTCTGGAAAGTTACATTTTTTCTTTATTCTTGACCAAATATTAATTGTTTCCTTAATCCAGTAATTTTGAATCTTGAGATTTCTTTGAACCCGCTTTGTTGTGAAGGGCAGTGTATCTAGGGACAGATTTGGGCAGGCCCTTTGCTCCATATCTACCCATATTGTCTCTTGATCCTTTGCTAACCACAGGGCTATGGCTCTCAATTGAGCAGCCCAATAATAGTTCTTTAATTCCGGTAAACCTAGCCCTCCATTACTCTTTGGGGACTGGAGTATTTTAAGTTTAATTCCTGCTTTTTTATTTTGCCATACAAACCTTGATATTCTTTTATCCATCTCTTTAAAAAATGAGTTGGGGATTGAGATTGGTAGTGATTGGAATATAAACAGTAGTCTCGGTAAGATATTCATTCTGACTGTCTCTACCCTCCCCCCGAGGGTGAGTGGTAGAATCTCCCATCTTTCTAGGTCTTTTATAATATCCTTCCTCAGCTTCTCATAATTTGTTTCAAATAACTGTGTAGTTTGGGGTGTAATGATTATATCCAAGTATCTAAATCCTTTATTGGTCCATTTGAACTTTACTTTCTCTTTTAGTTGTGCTGGACATTCACCTGATAACATCATTGCTACCTGACCTTGGTGGCTCTGTTAACATTACGAAGTAAGTCATCTGCAAATAAAGATATTTTATGTTCTACCCCTCCCTCATCTCTTATTCCACAAATTTGTTTATTCTGTCTTATTGCTTCTGCTAATGGTTCTATATTAACCACGAATAGTAGTGGACTTAAACAGTCCCCCTGCCTAACTCCTCTCCTGAGATCAAAAAATTCTGAGCAATATCCATTAATTCAAACTCGGGATTTTGGATTTTTATAGATTATTTTCACCCTTTCAGCAAATTGCTGTGAAAATCCAAATCCTGGCAATGTCTGGTATAGAAAACTGAGTTTTACCCTGTCAAAAGCCTTTTGGGCATTCAAACTAATCAGGAGGGAAGATTGTGGTTTAAGTTTTGTATGATATTACATTTAGTGTCCTTCTAATGGTGTTTGCTCCCTGCCTGCCTGGGATAACTCTGCATCCTTATCTTAACTCAACGCTTAACATGTTTTTGTTTATTTTTGTTGATTCAAGTTTGAAGAAATCTAGTATAAAATGTTTAAAACAGCACACCATGTCAGTTAAAGTAAATCAATGCAGGTCTGAAAAGAAGCCGTGAAAACTAAACACAACAATTTCAGCTTCTCCTATTGGAAGTCTCTCCTCACCAGCTGTGTGTTGTTAGCTTGTTAAGCTCTGATTGGTAGCAGTGATCTGAGTTCCATTTATAAACCCTC